CTGTGAAAACAGCAAGGGCGTAGCTGGCAAGTTCACAGCAATACTCCCGCAAGGTGTCACAAAATTGCTTCCCAGAACCTTTCTCACATCCACATACCCACTCATGAAACCCTATCCCTCATGAAAAAATCCTCATGCATGGCAGAAAAGGACTTTGCCTGGCCAGTCGCTTCACGCAAGCCACTTCCATGTCTGAGATCCAGCTGGTTGATTCAAAACTCGTCCGGTAGTGAAGACCATTCGGATCAATTTCATTGGGAGACATGGTTGTGGCAATCAAGCAAACAAGCTACTGATCTCCTCACCAACAAACAAGCAGCAGATGGCTTATGAAGGTAACATACCGGCTTGGACCAAAAGGCTGAAGGAGTGCCAAACATACCCCCTACGGCAAAAGTGAAGCTTCCCTGGGTTCAGCTAAGGAGCAGGAGCCGCCCACAGGTGGCAGCAGATCTCTTTGAGCATGTCTACGCCTACGCCCCATTCTGGTATAGGATTAATTAGAACCTCTCGCAACTCGCAATTGCAACGCAAACATACGCAAACAATGAAATGTCCTGAACTATATGTACGGAGGCTTAGCATATTCGTTCCTCACTTTGGTGATGGAATTAGCATGGTGAACTCCAACGTCCCTACAAGTAGTGCATTGTAGCAATTTGTATCCTTTGCGCCAAAAAACAAACCATCTTCTGTGCCAGTCCCTAGTAGAGCCCAAAAACGTGCCCAGGAAGGCAGGGCCTCCATAAAACCCGTAATGAAAAGCAAGGCCACGAAATCCCGAGTCACTCTAATCATACTCACCCCAAGGAGAGAGTTCTTCTACGTCATGGACGGACTCATTCTTTCGTCTGCCTACCGGCCAAAAAAAAGATCTCTCTCATACAACAATTTTACCTGACAGAGGTGACAAGCGCTGGGGTCGTATAGGTGCTGCAATAGACATGCCTTGGGCTTGTCAATGCCTGGCTGCGCACCACAACCTGGGCTGGGCCCAATCAGACTTGCTTCTTCCGCAGGGCAGCCATAAAAACGGTCTGGAGCCTCCACAGCCTAAGACTTCCTCCAAGCCGTCTTAACAATCGTGCCTTGCAACAGACTTCTGGTTGGGGAACGCTGGTTCGGAGGCTCCCGCGACGCAGCTCTTGAGGGAGCGCTGCAGCGCTTCTGAACAGCAAACTCTGGCCACACTCACTGAGAGAGCACGCCCTGCTCCTCCGCGACAGAGCAGTACAGAAGGCGCGAGAAAAAAGGACAATGCGAGCCCGCGCATGAAAGCAATGAACTTTGTAAAAGAAACAGACAGATAGGCTGGCTGATCCAGACCCCTGCTCGATTCTTCATGTGGAGCAACTGCTGGTACCTCACCAGCAAAAGCCTCAAGACTTCAAACTCTTGTGAGCTTCAAACGCAGTAAAATGACAGTTTACACTGTTTCTGGCTTGTTTTTGTCTCACGGCCTGGGACTAGTTTAACGTGGCACTAGCACGGTACGTGAGTTCAGCCAGTGGCGGAAATGGCTGTGGTTCGCCGAGCAACACAGCGGGGAAAATCTGCAAGCCAGCATCAAAACCTCAGACCTGTGAGATTCGTGCTCGGAGTGACAAACCATTGCTTCAGGCTCTGCAGAGAAGCAACACAAGACATAAGCACATGGGGCTTGGTCTAAAGTTGATTCACCTGCAAAAGGCTGGCTGAGGCCGGACAGCGGCACTAGGAAGCAATCCCGACATGTTGAGTGAAATTGCGACGTACCCAGCGCAAGTTCACGAAGAGCAGACGCAGCCTAGCCTCACAACTTTGTGAGGGTACAGAGGGTGCTGGGCACGCAAGCGCAGAGTCCGCCAAGAAAGGACCCCTCGTGATTGCATACGGCTACTGACAACCACCATGTAAACGTGTCAAACTTTGGAATCGAAGTATAAGACCGTACGACATCAACCGTACAAGTAGATTTGCAAGTGTTCTCACTTACACTTGGACAACATACAGCTCCTGTGCAAAGCCAAAGTTCAGAGTTGTGCGCCACAATGTGGCGACCCGCCCCCGCTGCTTCCAGCCCTTGATGCTGAGGCACCTTCTGCATCACCGATAAGATCTCCCTACTGTGAGGGGGTGAGGGGTCCAATAATGCCGAAAGCATGTCATCCTCAAGGCAACCAGATCATTGCCTCCCAGTAAAATGCCAAACGCCTCTGCTTAGGGTGTTTCTTTTTCCTTCATCTTCCAAAGAGCTGTTGCGACCCCAAACCCTCTCCTGAAAGCCATTCTTGCAGGTTGAGTCAAAGGTGGGGGCAAACAATCCGGAGACACGTAGATCATGTTTGTTCTTGGAAGCCTTCAACAAAACATAGTTCCCACAGAGTAATTTGCTACCGTGTCGCAACTGACTCTAGCAATAAACACCTTCGTGAAGTGGTGTGTTTAACTCCATCCCAAGTCTGATCCATTGACATGCTCTACACCTACCACTCCGATGCTACTTCGAGCCTGCATGGCTGCGAGAAAAAGAAGAGCTGAAGCTCAAATGAAGTCAGCATGAACTAGGGTCAGAGCGTGCCTTTGCGGCTGAGCAAATTCTTGCAACTGTGCACTGCAGAAACACAGGGTGTGGCTAGCTGCTGTTTCGAAACGATTACCACCGCCAGTGGTCTGGGATTTCAATGTCCAATGATCTGGTCATGCATTTCAACTCGAATTACAATCACCATGAAACAATTTCCCGACAATCCATGCTACGTCTCAGATAAAACCTAGATTGCTCTCAGAGCTGCACTTCGTCTATTGAGATAACTGCAGACCCCAAACCGCCTCGCTGGTCAAGACCAAGCAGAAGGATACGGGCTTTGCATAATGAGGGCACAGAACGGCCATTGGATGGATCACCCTCTGTAAGTTCCCGTACAATTGACAGCCGCGCACATCGAAACAACACGGACGCATGATGAAAAAAAACAAGGTCAATGTAGCGTGTGGGGAATACAGAATCCAAGGAACGATGAGCTGTTTGTGATCCGGACGTTGCATGCTTCAAGGCAAGCCTAATGACTTGACACCTGGCTACTTTCGCCTGGGTTGATTGCTCACTTTTCGGGAAGGTCTCATCACCGTCACTCTGTTCCAACTGCCTCGTTGTAGAAGACTAAAAGTGAGGGAAGCCAAATCCTGCCATGAGGCTTCGGGCCTATGCTGAGCCTCGCTCTTTGAACATCATCACACACCAAGACCGTGCTGACAGTTACAGACCACAACACGACGATGCATGCTCCATTCAGGAAGGGCCGAAGATGAGCGGGAGCAAAAATTTGCAAAAAGGTCACTTTAATATCTGTGGCACTGACCCATCTCATGTTTCTCTGCCTGTCGTAAACACTTGGTCATGCAGCCTCATCAAGCCGATACTTCAGCAAGATGCTTGCAACTGGAAACAACACCCCTGATTCCCTGGTGCTGGGCACCAGTTCCCTCCAGGCGCCTCGTCTGTCAAGGTGACAACAGGCTGTCAGAAGGATGAATGAAACCTTTTAAAGCTCGCACTCATCGGCCATGGCCATGAGAGTGACCATGCTCTGGCATGTGGCCATGTGAATGCCCATGGCTGCCATGTGAATGGCCGTGGACGTCATCCATGGGACATTCATCTCCTGGCTGGCAGAGCAGCTCGTACTCGGCATGCACTGCCTGTTGCTTGTGGTGAGTGTGATCGCCCTGAAGGCCAACATAGCGTAGCAGCGTGCTGGGCGTGTCCCCGCAGTTGGCCGGGAAGTAGAGTGCTAGCGTGGTCACGTTGGTGAAGGCGGAGACCCGCGTGCAGAGCTCGGTGGTGCCGTGCGGGTTCGCCGACAGGTGGAACTCCTGCGTGGCCGCCACTTCGTGCACGCTGCCAAAGTCGAACTCGTGCCGATTTACGAAACAGTGCAGACGGCTCGGGTGGGCTGCAAGTTCCGCGTTACCCTCTTCGCTCTCGCCGCCCCCACCGATGACGAGGATCTTTCGGATGTGCACTGGGGAGGTGAACCTCAGCACGAGCAGCAGCTCCTCGTCGGCGTCACTGGCAAGCCAGGGCTGCCTCTCCAGGCGCCGCTCGTGTGGCCGCAGCACCGCGGCCAAAGGCGCTGCGACCACGCGCGCCCCACCGGCATCGCGGGGTTGCCCGCCGAGGGTGGCATTCAGCGCAAGGGATGTCTCAAAGTCCACATGCTGGTAGAGGTTCCAGTCATCGTCAGGATACTCGGCATCGTGCGAGTGTGCCCCAAACCCCATTGCCGGACTCACGCCCTCTATCCAGTCTGGGAAGGCAGATGAAGCTGCAACCTCTAGCTCCTCCTGCGCCGAAGTGGCTTGAGACGGAATGGCCGTGCAAAGAGCTATAATCTAATTCATACAAGACCCTGCAGCAGAGATTCACTGAGCATTCTGAACAAGCCTTGCGTGTAATGCAGGTGACCCCTACAACGTGTGGTGCAAACTCTCTTACAGTGACATCTAGTGGACCCTACCCAGTAGCATCAGTGCCGAAGCCACGAAGCAGCCCCATCAGCTGGCACTGAGTGTTGCACTGGAGCTGGCAAGGAAGGTCAGCCAGGCAGCGCGTCAAACCCAGAAGTCACAACAAATCTGATTGTCGGAGCCTCTGTCAGCATGACCAAGCTGACCAAGGCTACCGCAGAAAAGGGCAAGTGGACCTGCTTCTTTGGGCCCAGAGCTTTGTTGCTCCGACGTTGATGGACAAGCAAACTGCCCGTGATTCATGATGAGCGTGTTCATGGAAACCCATAATATCTACAGCTTGAAATAATTCACGTGTGAATCTCTACCAGCACCAAAAAGACTCCAAGGGAAAGGACCCCTGAATCCGTGATTGGACTCAAGAAAGCACGCTGGGTCTCTGAATGCAACAAAAGCAAAATGTCCGGATCTGTTCAACACGATTTGAAGCTGGGCTAAGACGCACTCCGCCTTTTTAACGAGGCTGATGGTCACAAGCAAGCTTTCTGATTCTAGATTGCTCGCAGCTGAGGCTTGTGCTCAGGCCTTCTGTCCGAACCTTGCGCGTTCCGGAGCACGTTATGCACTGCGGCAGTGGATCTCCCAAGGCCCTGAACGGCCTGGACTGGGGCAGGCGGCCTTGGCTATCTCGACTCTGTGAAAATGCGCTTGGAAAGCTCATTTCAACTTTTTGGGCTCTCAAAAATACAATGAAAACAAAAAGCCAAACGTAGCTCGGCATCCTGCACCTCCCAAGCATCGGCACCGAGCTTGCCCGCACGAGCACGGTCTTCACAGAAGGAGGTGCCGGAGATTTCAGCGTTCTGTAATGGTAAGTTCCAACAGTACCGTGCCAGGGTAGAGACGCGGCTGGCGGCTGCGGAACACTGGTCATGCGGGGCGTCCTTACAGGGAGCGCAGGCCCTGCGACGCAGAGAGCCTCCGGTTGTACTGTGCCGAGCCTGGCAGCATCCAGCAAACAGCGTTACACTGCCAAAGAAAGGTCTGGAAGAAGTTCAGGATTTTTAGCTTTGAAGAGCTGGTGCCTTGTGGGAACTCCTCGTGCGAGCAGTTTCGGAGGGTATCCCACAGCTGGCATTGCGATGGTCAGATTCCCAGTGCTGACCTTGATGCCCAACTTGTGGCTACCCCACAGACCTGTCAAACGCCATCGACCTTGCAGCATTTGCAGCCAAGCAGCTGTTTGACTCAAAGTACCCTGCGAAGGCAAGATGCGTCTTGTGGCCTCTGCCGCCTGCTCTCATGCCGGAACCACTGTGTTCAGGCCTTGTACTCTTCAGACACATGCACCCAGCACAAATATTTTGCCAGCTGTATGGGTCATGAGCCTGCGCATTCCAACAACGCCACAATCAAGACCTAGCCAGTAAACGACAGAACGGAATGCCCCGAACAGCTTTACCGAATCTGTTGTCCAAGGCAGCTTTGTAGATATGGTGCCAGATGTGTAGCTTGACTACTCCAGAAGCGACACAGATCGTCAGCTTCTCGGAGACTTTTCATGCAAAATATACAATAAAGTGTGAAGAGTTGCACAATCAGCATCATCTAAAGAAAGAGCATTGAAGTCCCCACGCCTTCGGCTGCTGCGTGTACTTGCAAGGGACGTAATTCTCCTGACTGCAGTACATCTAATGCATACATCTCAGCCTCCTCAGTCTGAAATGATTCCAGCGGAAGGCCCTAGGGCCCAGGAGTGTGCATTGCCAGAGAACTCCTGTCTAGCATAATGAAACTAGGCCATACATATGGCGTACAAGCGCAAAGCATATTGGGCATGCTGAGCAGATCCACTGCACTTGCACTCTTTGCGTGCTGCATGAGAACACTGGGAAATTCACTCATACCATAGCCATGGCTATGAACTTTCAAATACCACAGAGCGTGTAATAGAAATGACTTCCTCTCACAAACTGGTCTTCTTTCCCGGCACCCAGGGACAAGCAGCGGAACCCAAACCCATTCCCTGAGCATTCTTCCAGCACACCCTGGTTCCATGAAGCCTCCCGACTGGCCTTAGTTGCAGTGGCCGCCGGCTCACCGCACCCAAATGCGTCCCAAGAGAGCTGAACCTTCCATCGTGAAAAAAATCCAGAGAAGCCCTTCCCGCTTTCGGGACACTGCAAGGCTCAACCTGCCAAAGCCTTCAATGTGAATAACGCCTGTCAACAGAAGTATACGAATAATCTGCTTCAGGTCCCCGCCACATTGATGGCGCCCTGACAACTTTTCATTTTGCACCCTGGCTATCCCAAGGACGGAGTCCCTTCAGCTGCTTGACAATCATAATATGACGAAATACTGCCTGATTTCGAAGTAATCCTTACCCCCGACGAATTCAAGAAAGCTGTCCCGCCAAAACATCTGTTCATGTACCGGTCACAAAAGAGAATACAACCATGTACAAAATAGTACTGGCTCTCGTGCCCACCACTAGGCTTGAATCTCTCCTGGCAGCATCTCTCTTGTTGTCAGAGGGGTTGATAATTTCCACACACACACCCACACACACACACACACACCCACCCACCCACAAAACCCACCCACCCACCCACCCACCCACCCACCCACCCACCCACCCACACACACACACACACACACACACACACACACACCCACACACACGCGCGCGCACGCACGCACACGTCGGTAGTGGTAGTAGTAGTAGTAGTAGTAGTAGTAGTAGTAGTGGTAGTAGTAGTAGTAGTAGGAGTTGTTCGTGTTGGAGCAACCCCGTCATTGCCGTGACGCCCGTGGCGTGAGTGTTGCTGTGGCGGTGGCCCCGGCCCTCGCAGCTGCTGTCGTCCTCGATCGTCGTCGTCGTCGTCGTCGTTGAAGCCATGATTGTGATGATCGTCGTCATCACAGCTGCTCTGCGGGAGTTAGATGAGAGGGTAAAGGATACGGAGCAGGGGTAATCGTGCAATGGAAGGGCAAGCAGCTCTCTGCCTCTGCCTCCAAAGATTGGAGCTCCTGTTCACATTGGACTTTTACATAGTTTTTGTGCAGCCAAAGGCAGGAATTGGACATCAAACAAGACTGGAACTTGTCATGGTTCAGGGAAGCGCTGTTCTGCCCCTATGTCGGGTATCATCGGCATAGTCCGGGGGAAGTTGGAGCCACTACTACCTCGAAACAAACACAATGTGGCTGACTCACAAATACCACCACCGCAGCCGCCGCTGCAGCGCCGCAACAAGCATCGCTGAAGCTCCTCAACGGTCCGATCGCGAAGTTCTTGCGCCATGTCCTGTATGAAGGATCCCTCGCATGCTGACTCGGATAGCTCTACGCAAGGTCCAGCTCAACAAGGCGAGTCCAAGGAAAATGACACTATGACATCTTGTAGATCTGTTGGCCCTCAGCGGCAGTATGAGATTGCTGTACTGCCCTGATTCCATATAGGAGTCGTGAATGGTTCGACTATACCTGAACAACAGCGACTCTGAATCCGAGAGAGGTTGCTGCAAAGCCCAACGTACACTTACATATGTATCATGCGAAAGGCATCACAAAATCACATGCAAGTAGATGGTACCTCGTTTGCATCGCTGGAACTTGGGCGATAAGCACAATTCACCCCAACTTGGGGTATTGAAACAGGTCCACGCTCCGAGGTCCTGCATGTCATAGACATAGATTTTTGGAGACACTCCTCGGGTGCATGTAAGCTCTCTGCGTCCTCGTTCCAAGCTGGCGTTGGTCCACACTATGGCATGAATCGTGTGAGCTGAAGCCTTAAACTACAACTTAGCCTGCAGAATCACCGACTATTCGGGGGGCCATTCTGCCACCAGCCACATGCACATCTGAGTTGACCGCGCTGTGCCAGCCAGCGGGCAGCATGTTTGTGGAACCAGGCCAGCCATCATCTTCGCCGCTACATCGAATAAGGTATCTGAATCTTTATGCTCGAAGCCCTGAAAAATGCCTTACAACGAACATAGCATAGTATCACCACGGCAATCTGACAAGGCCCCTGGCCTCTGGCTTTGGGCGGGAAAGACCCTATGCTGCCCCCCATCCCTCCCCCAGCTCTTCCCCTCCTCTGTTTTGGCCTCCCTTGCAGCCCCACTCCTCTTTTCTCTCAAACCTGATGCCGCACCAAATGGGCGACAGCTAGGCTTTTTGACGAGTCACTGCATCACAGGTTCAGATTGCAAGGGATGTTCGTACCATCCCACAAAACGGTACATCCCCCCCTCCCGACGCCCCCCCACCCTGCCCCGCCCGCTAGCCCCGCCCGGCCCCTCATACTTGCGTTCATTCTTCACAAACCCGACTGTCTTGGCCTCCCTTGCAGCCCCCCTCTTGTCTTTTCAATTTCAGATTCACACGCGAAAAACTTGACGAAGCAAATGGGCGACAGCCAGCTTGGAACAATGTTCCAAAAACATGACGTTCATGCGTTGTGTTTGAGCTGCCTTGGTCGTGTAGACGTAATGAGCCGTAGGGGTTGTACGCCTGCGAGGGCCTTTGGTGCTTTATCGGTCTCTTGCCCCATGCCGAAGAATCAGAGCTGACTTTTTGGTCACCGGTGCAGGCCGGCTCTGCACGCACATCGACGAGCCCACGACTGCATGGGCAGGCCCAGTCGGCGCGCTGGCATTGATTTTATTCAAAGACGTGCAAGACAAACACTGAACAATCAGCATGCGACGAGCAATTGTGCTGAGTCTGGCACTCTGCAAGGCTCGTCTGAAGTCAGCGTTGGAAGTCAAGAGTCCGTCTTCGTCATAAATGGCCTGCAACATATGATGGTCATGGCTCTCTTTGGTTGATTCTTGCCACCATGCTTGGCCTCTTCAATGCTGCAGCATGGCAGACCTCCCCTAAGCGCAAGGGGAGGAGCCACAGCGTCCTGAACCTGACCCTGTACTTACTCTTACCTGGATCATGCCAGCTCTGCCTGTCTGTTGACCGGCACCTGAAAGTAGCGAGCGACGTTATCTCGTAGGACTCTGGCCTCCAGAGCGACATCATTAAAGACTGGATTCACAGGTGTGAGCGAGTTTCTTTGCTGTGGGTGAGCATACTGCAAACACAGCCTTGTGCCGACAATCATAAGTCCAGCGGTTGCCTTTTTTGTTTGCAACGCAACTCGGCGTCACTGACGCAATGTGCCCTCCCTCATGCTCCAAGTGTTTGTTTCTTTGCAGCCGGTTGTGAAAACTATTGCCATCATGCCGGTAGTACTTATCTTGCAGCCGCTTCCCCTAACAATAAATGGTCCTCCCTCCAGAAAAATCAAACCCCCTGGAGGTTTCATTAGTAGCGTGAGTTGTTACTGTAAAGAATGATCCGGGCCCGATTGATGTCCGTTACTATTTCTACTATCCGCGGTCCCAAAGTAGCCTCAGAAACCAAGAAAGGCCGTGTCAAAATGCCGAAAATCTAGGAAATAAAGAGGAACGCCCTAAACCTAGTTGGTTTTCCTGCTTCACTTGTTGGAAACAATCTTACACAGCCCATAAGAACCAAGGAAATACTGCAAACTCCTAATCCTGACAATTGTCCACTACATTGTCTTATGTAACGTCTTACAAACCTCGGAAAATCCAAAACTTAAGGCATGAAGGAGCCTAATTCTAATTCAAGTACCGTGAGATTTGTGCATTGTACGCTCCCTTCTGAAAGCCTTTTCCGAAATATGAATCTGGGCAATGAAGGAGAAGCCTAATCTCGTATTACTCCTTCTGTCATAGTCACACTGGTAATCATTTCAGGTCATTTCAGAACCTCCAATTTAATGATTAAGGACGTCGTAAACGACCCCTTTGAAAAGTCATCTTGCCCTAGTGGAATACTAGGGATGTTGTTCATCCGGCGGGAGGTATGTAGTGTTCAGGGTGCTATTTCTATGTCGTTGTGCATGCCCATCTTTTCAGTTTTGCTGAGTCCTAGGTGTGCCGCTGTGCCCCAAAGTTTTGGATCGAAGATGACGGCCAATGAGTCATAAAGGGCCCCATTGCAGGCTCCATACCCTTCACTTGACTTCTGCAGCAAATAATTCTTTTCCACGCAGGGGTTGTGGCAAAGGCTGGCGTGCGGAGGAAGTGGTTCATCTCCTGTCATGCTGCTTGGGATACATTTCCATCAATCCCAACTTTACGTTTACTGTAGATTTAGGCAACTATTGCATATCTCGTAGTTTAAGCTGCAAGCGCGAATGCCGCAAAATTGTCTAGCTTGCTTGAAAAGGCTGTGAATGCTGTTTGTTGGAGCCAGCCTCCACGCAAAACCAGTCGTGCAGCATTCCCGCCACCTGCACAGCCCCGACTGACATCGCCTGATGCCTCTGGCATGACTGAGTATCCTGCTTGGGGCTCAGCAAGTGCTCATCATCATATCTTAGATTCAGGCACCAGGCAGTCGTTTATCCCAACTGAATGTTCGCACTCTCCAGGCCACATGGGTTTGGATCTTCAAGGCTTTCGAATGCAAATCTTCATAAATTCTACTCTTCGTAACCACTCAAATGACCGCTACATCCCGAGAGATTCCGTCCAGTCTCATGAAAGGCTACACTACACCAGAAGTCAAAATCAAGTGTGGACGACGGTAATCTTGCACCACCCTACACGGCCCTAAATACGGCAATTGTTATACTTGGGGGAGACTAAGTCATACAAGATTTCATCCATCCTCTGTATGAATCTCTTCATTCTCTTTACTTGAATTGAAGCCTACCTGCAAGGGTCAGAGATCAAAGCAATCGAACAGTTGCTGCAAAGCGTGGCTTGAGGTCGTTATTTGTCCTATGCCGCTTCCGCCGCTCAAGCCGTTTACGTATTGATGCGCCGCTTACGCCCCTGCGCCCCTTTATGTATGGTGACACATGCTTGCATGTATGTGGTTTGTAAAAACCGTGGGCCGGTGGGCTGGCTGGGGGCAATTATCAAATTCGGTTGATGCCTGCTCAATTATGTTTGATCCCTGCCCCACCTGTATCTGACAAATTTCATTAAAAGCTCGTCAAACCTCAATAATTACTTCTCACACTCATGGCTTGACTTCAAAGGTTGCACAGTGGGAGCAAAATCCTGGACCCGGCTAGGTACGAGCAGGATCTCTACAAGCCTCTAATCCTCATGATTCCGCATTTACGGCTTCGCTATGTTCACTCAACAGACCTCATGAGCATATCATTCAACCTCTTTGAACCTTTTTCTCAAGCTTGGCTGACGGCACATCTAGCCAAAAAACAAGGCTGACGTGCAACTGGCATTGTTAGATCTCTCTATGCATAGACCAAATTTTCAAATGATCTCAGCAGCCGCAATGCTCTTGGACCCATGAACAGCCGGGCAAAAAGCTTGCTGCAGTTAAGATCCTTTGGAAAACTGATGAGGCCCTGCCGCCCATAGTGCGACTACTCAGTGGGGTCGTCTGCCAGGCCTCCACTCGAAGTATTCGCGAGGTCGGCGGCGAAGCCTGTCTGGGAAGCTTTGAGCTGCTTCAAGATTCTAGGTGCAGTATGCTCAGGAGGAGAGTACCAATGAGAGAGGACTTCTTGCTGGACCGATGCGATGAAGTGCGTGCTGTCTGTTAATTGCTCAGTGAGGTTGCCTGTCTTGACAGAATCAACTATCTGTTCATGGAGCCGAACTGCAGGCCATCTCAAAGTAAACTGCACGAAGACAAACATTGCTGCACATGATCAGCGCAGCTGGCCTTGCTCACTTCTGAATCCAACTCCGAGGGTGGCGGCCTGGCGGGGCTTCTTAGCTTCTGAAGGCCGGCTGTAATATGTTGTGGGAATCACAGCATGTAAACAGAATCATTATTTTCATTGCTATTCAGGTCAGCAGTGGCAGAAGAAGACCAGCACTAGTAATAAGTGGCGGTGGAAGTAGTGGTAGTAGTAGTAGTAGAAGAAGTACTAATAATAGTAGTAGTAGTAGTAGTAGTAGTAGCAGCAGTAGGAGGAGGATCCCCCCGCCCAGGCACGACGTTTTACTTGAAACCAATGTAAGGACGATAGGTTGGGATTGGGGGAGGGGTGGGGGGGGCGGGTTAGTTCCGTGCAAACAGACATCAATCGGTAGGTAATTCTGAGATGTCGCCGCTGGTGGAGCTTCGACGACCGCAAAAAGCGATTGCGCTGGGAGTGGCAGCTTGCACCCATCAACAGTGTCACAACATTCGATCATTTAGCCCACGTAGAGCCCCTACAAAATGACCCCTTTAACCCACTGTTCCTAGGTCCCGGCAGCAACCACAAGCGCACGCGAGTCGTAAGCACCACGGAGAGGTGAAACTAAGATGTCGCCAGGGGTGGACTTTTGACGACCACACTCAGCGGTTGCGCTGGGAATGGCAGCCCTAGTAGTAGTAGTAGTAGTAGTAGTAGTAGAAATAGTAGTGGCCGTTATCACAGCAGCACCAGTTGCAGAGGAGTTGGAGGAAGACCCACAACAAAGACAGGCGGAAGAAGAGTGGTTTATCATACCTATACGCCATCTTACTTGTCTGAACATGTCTGATCATCAAAGCCTACCTGAAGTGCCTGGCGACTGGAGAACCGCGTTCCGCATCTGCCACAAGCTTGGCGAGACCTTGTACGTTACAGGTCACCATATGTCACCAGGTAGCAGGCCAGTCACAAAGAGTCAGTACAGGCGATTTGAACGCTGCAACTCTGACGTTGCAAGTGATCCTGCTAGGTGTGTGCTTTCGAGACGCCTACAGGGTTAGGCTTGCACGAACCTCAGACCGGGGAGCTCGGCTCTGGCATCTCGAATGAAGTCAGGGAAGTAAGTTTTCCAGGCCCAAATGGGGATATGAGGTATGAAGACGACTGAGAGCCCAGCTCATAGCATCCGTGTCTGACATGGCAAGAAGAATAGAGGGCAGCTCCCTTCTTCAGTCGAAGTAGCTTCACATGTATCATTCATGAAGCTAGGCTTACAGTATGTGCTGGGATGTTCCTGGCCCGCTACACAAGCAGGACTGCAATATGCTGCAGATGTCGTTTGCTCGGCGTGCTCAATTTCTGCTTCTAGTTGAGCCAACTTGGTCTGAACTTCATGACCAACTCATCAATGCCTCCAAAGGACAGACAGAACCACGACCAGTGGCACGCTCAGGCACAAGCAATGATATCCGCAAATTCAAACTAGCAACCATGCTGGGGTAAGCAACGTTCCGAGAACTGACTGAGTTCTTAATGAGCCCTGGACACTAAGATCACACGGCAGTGACAATGATGTAGCGCCTGCCAAAACAACCTACGAGTCCTAATTACGCGCTCTTATGCCTCCTCCTGGGTACAAGGAAGTATAAAAGTTCACGCAGCTCGGAGATAAGATGCTGCATCTAAGCTTCTGAGCAAGGGAACCTCACAATCAGTAGCTACCGAAACCATGCAAAAGCACGTAGAGTAAGGGTGCACATCAAGTATGCAGAGATGGGCCACGTTTCCCTGACACTCAAGGCCTGGGTTACGCACATAGAGCGCGCCCATTTTCCAAGGAGGAACGCTATAACCGTGGCCTCTAGGAACACCGCGAGTGAGGCCACCGGCTGGCGCAAGAGCCAGATCCAGTTTAGTCGTCAGACAGCATAAAAGCTATACGAGGACATACCTTGATGGGTGTCTGTGTATCAGTGCCCTCCGTGCTTAGCCATACCAGTCGTGTCATTGCATCTGAGTGGCCGCTACGGATTGATATGGCTCTTGAAGCAAGATTGTAGAGCAAGCAAGTCAGCAAGATGCAACAGCTGCTGCTCATGGGACCGTTTGGGAACCGTCGGCACACGCGGAACCCCAGCCAAAGCGAAGCCCCGGCCATCTGAAAGCCGTGAAATGGTTCCTACATGTCAAAGCACTAACAGCTGCATTTCATATCAATTCATAATGCAGACCTTGGCTGGGGATTCCGGAATGCTCTGAGTTGAAAAAGATTTCGAGGTCTGAGCAGCAGCAGAACCAACGCGTCCTCTGCGGGTGCCACTGAATCAATGCAGTGATGTATGCTGTAGATGTGCTGCGCCTGCAATGGTTTACAAAGTCCATGGCCGCAGTCACTTCTGCATCCCATTTAATACGAGATCCCCGAGTGAGTGGAGGCTAGGACTTGGGGGTACTGCAATTCTCTTTGGATCTTGCCAAACTTCGTCTTATTGGATTTGGGTCGCAGGTCTCCGCGAAACTGCCTCCTGCTACACGCTCAACACTTAAGTAACTTAAGTTGCCAAATCAATCCAGGGTTCGGGTTATGGGGAGAAAGCAAAGGAGTTGACCACCCGTCTCAGGTACACGCAAGCTGACTGCGTGGATGCAGCGAGGAAGGTCTACACAGGGGATGTGGTTGGTTGCTCTTCCTGAAGCATGAAGATGAGCAGCGCCAAGCCACTTCCCGCCATGCACATAACTCTGTTCAAAAAGACCTTGGAAGCGTTCATGCAAGAACCTATGTTCAGTAATTGAAACTGGTGGAGGTCTGCCCTATGAAAGTTATGCAAATGCATCAGCTTGAATTGCCACTTGAATCGGCAAACCCCATCCTTCCGCGGCCCAGAGTGGCCTTCAATCTTTGGTATTTGCAGAACTCGGCTTTCGCGAACCTTCCGCAAAGTTTCCCTCCACTTCTTGGAGACGATCGTCATGTCATCGTGTCTTCCCGCGCAGAGCTTATCTGCTGCCTCGGATTCCTCATGATGCTTCTTCATAGAAGACGCTGTACCGGCACTCTGTTTTAGGAGCAGCTTCTGCCAGCCTTCCGCGAAGCCATCCCCTTCTGCGGACCTTCCGGCCACAGTCAGGTGCGCATGTCTGTCCAGCCCAAAATCTTATGTCGCCAAATAGTCATAAGATGTCATAAGTAGTACACAGGAAAGGAAAAAACGCTGCTCTGGTCGGGCTGGCTCATCCCCTGTGTGAACTCGCCCTTCGTGCAGGCTGGAAAATATCTTTTCTTCAGAGGTTCCGAATGTGCCACAGCATCCTTTGCAAATAGTGGTTTCCGAAACACGAAACTGTCCGTGGAGTAGACCCCCTTTAGGGCTAGAACCTTAAAAAAATCTGCTTAAGCTGCATTCCTACTGGTCCCATCCCGGGCTTGATCAGAGCGTGCCAGCTACACAGTTACACATAACAAGAAGGCAAAACTCGGGCCTCGAGTCAAGGTCAAAGGCGGCAACAATTGCTTGGGCTTTTCGGAAGCTCTTCAGCGAAGCTATGACTGGTTTCTGTACCCGGATCTCGTCCTTTGACGGTGTGATCCCCACCTTTCGTAACCCCAAAAAGGCGGATGAGCAGAAAACTTCGTGACCTAGCTACAAGTACGATTCATACGTAATCACGTGAAGGCAGCCAATGGCCAGAGAATGCCCTAATGCCCTAGTTGAGTTCACAGTGTAGTTCCTGCGAGCCCAAAGCCTGATGCTCTCACGAACCCAAGCTGGGCCGGCAACAAGTTTTCCACTGCTCTATCACAATCCTGCACGCCTATACCCAAGCTCCGTGGTGCTCCGCAGCACTCTGAGCCTAGTGATATGCCAGCTGATCCTTCGGCGTCGCTCCTGTTGGATAAAGGTTCGAGTACTCGGGGACGGGGATCTCCTGTCAGGCACAAACATAGCTCGGACATCTAGACAGCTCTGGTTTAGCTGTCCAGTTTTTCCCAGCTTTGCTGCGATGAAGTTGGGGAGTTGTATGAACTTATTTCGAACACACGCACTATCCAGTGATGCAGGACCATCGCACAATTATAGATAGTGCAAGGGCAACTGTCATTGAAGGGATTGGTCACCCAAGGGCTCTGACCACCGAAATCCGTCATCCCGACTTGCCTCCACAGTCGGCTTTGCTGGCACAACCCGCCGCGTGTAGCAGTAGTTGATGACCTTCCAGAGAAGAAGCATGAGCAGCTGAATGCAACTGAAGAATGACCTTCCAAATGCTCGATTTGCTCTGTGAAGGCATGCTTGAGAAAGTGCTGCTGCACGCACTGGCAAGGCTGATACATCCGTCACGCAGCCACGAAGGGACGTGCAAAGTACTCATGTCCGGCAAGCGCTCCGCGGCTTGCTGTAAGAAAGTCGAAACCATGTCACGGATCGAACACGTCATGTGGATCTATGCAAGAAGTGGTAACTCGACATTCCGGCTCCAGTCTCCAGTTTTTGCGCAACTACGGAAGATGCCCAAAGTCTACTCAGCTTCTCTCGCGCTGCCTCCATGACAATGGCCAGTAACAGGAAAGCCTGCGAGAGAGAGAGGGAAGGAGGGAAGGAGGGAAGCCACATGGAGCTCCATTAAGCCCACAAATCGAATGCTGAGAATCGCAGGGGGAAAATATCTTTAACACGGGCGTGGCTTAGGCTTTGCATGGGTTGTGGCACAGGCTATGATATTGCCAACGAACAGAAGCCCAAAGTCCGTCCAGGAATCCCGCAAACTCACACGTCCTTGTGCTCACGGCCTTCAGAATAGAGAAATCCTTCTCTCGAGCAACCAGGACTGTGAAGCCATAGGTCACCACCAAAGAGGCAGCATTGCAAATATTCCTTGAGTTGATTGTAGGGCTGCACGGATGGCAAAACATGAATTCTGTACATGAGGCGATGTTTGGATGCAGGTTCTGAGGCGAAGTGACATGAATTTGGGAACATGTTCTGGGGATGTGTAATCATTTTAATCCAGTGGCGGCCAACCCACAAGCTGATATTTTCCTTGGCACCTATTCATCAAACTACTCCACATGTGAAGGCTGCTGAGCAAACAATAAAGCTGAACAATGTTGAATCTTGCTGATTTATCCATAACTCTCTGGGCCTCTAGGGATAAGAGAACTATAATTCAAATCAGCTACTAAGCTCGGCAACCCTCCTCCTATGATGAAAACAGCTACTGAGCTCCGCAACCTCTCTCCCATTCAAGGGCTTCCAGCACGCCTCGTTAGACAGGGATCCACTTTGGTTGGAGGAGTAACGCAACCATCAAGATCCCACGTTGCTCGGTTCTCTTGGCTGGATGAAGTAGAACTGGAGACATGCGTTTCATGAGTTCACATCCACCTGCTGGAGAAGAAAAGTCTAGGTAGCAAGGTCTGCAGGATGTTGTTTGCCTACAGCCACACCATACCTTGACTGCTGACTGCCGCTTCAATCTTTCAATGTCACGTGGCAGCATACAGACACGACAGTAACCTTTTGCCCTGGAGCCCCGGTACGAAAAATGAGCAGCGTTTGCGGCAAGGTGCTTTGCATGACTGAAAGCTAATAGGTCGCGAAGGGTTGTTCAGAAGAACAGTCACTTCAACGTATAAGATGCTCAAAGCACGCGCAAGCTTTCAGTGCAATCTAAGCAGTAGCCAACACTCAGCTGGATGCACCTTGCACATGAACTGTCAATGACGAGCGAGATGCTTGACCAAGGTGTCAAAATGCTTGACGCACAAACCTCAGCTGGCAATGGACCCAGCAGTGATCAACGATAGGATGCTTCCAAGATTTGTTCTCTCCATGCGTGATGCTCTTGCAAGTATGGAGTCGCTAGAAGCCATCCGGATGCTGTTTCAAACTGAGGTTCAAGATTGCCAAAGCTTCAGCGAGTGGCTGCAGATCCACTCCCGCCAGCAGTACATCGCAGCAACAATGAATGTCCGCCTGGACCACGATCCGTCCTGTCCACCTTGCTTTCAGCAAGTAGGGTCGATTGCAAAGGATTTGGGAGGCTTGGTTAGGTACCTGCGGCATTGCAGCTTGGTCCCACGAGCAAGTGCACACAAAAGACTGCACCCTCGGGCAGGGTTAGCTGGAGCGTGCCGCAATACGAGGAGGTCATCAGGCAACTAGCCAATGAGAACTGTTCGTCCCACCCAGCAGCTTATGCGCCACTACTTCAAATTCTTAGCAAGCCATTGCACTACCCACAACATGTGATGAAAAGGCCGAGCAACTGAAGAACTGGCTCGGATCTTCGTTCTGCACCCCGCAGATGAAAAGGTATGCGGTCGTAGCTGCGATGATGCTGCTGAAAGAAACCTTGCCAATGCTGCATCAGTCTGCGGAGCACTCTTGACGAGCACGCTCTGAAGCAGCTTCTGTGTGCCTTCTTTCAAAGTCCTGATAGCCTGCCCTGCTTGTGGCGCTATCTCTAGCTCACCCGCCAGGATCTCTACTGCACCTTTTGCTGGCCACCTGCGTCATCTGCACGTGGAGCCGTGTAGGCTCGCCAGCTCCAGACTTGAAGCACATCTCGACATAGACCTCGGCCATTTATAGCATGGGTGACAAGGCCAACTCCAAAGAGGGATGTTCTAGCAACCACATTTGCAAGCCACAGGTACAATTAGGCCTGAATTGAGCACATCACGAGATTCCATCTCACCAATTAGAAAGCCTGGCAAGCCTTTGTCATCTACTTATCTGCTAAAGGTTTGTATACTACTGCTATCAACATTGTTACCGCTGAGACGGTTGCAGCATTCTCTGCAACCACTTCTAGGCTGTTATCATCATCAGCACTTTGCAGCATCGTGATGCTTGTCGAGTGGCGGAACTCAGCACGGAGAGTGTGACCTTGCAGGGTCCGCATTGCATTGGCTTGCCTCACCTGCATGTAAATCCCTGCCATCAAACTTCACAGCCGGCGGCCTTGCACATGGCAAAAAGAGCGCCCACGAGTTGCTCCTGTGGCGCAGACATGTCAAGGCCGTCCCTGTCCTCTCTTCTGGTGCAGACCAGTCCTGGAAACCTAAGCTTGGCCAACCTGGCCTTGAAACTCCGGAAGGCAAACGAATTGAAGCTCCAACCCAAGCTCCTGCGCCTCATCCTCCAGGACGGGAGAGTGTCGCGTGAACTGGCGGGCCGTTCATCAATCATGCAGAGTAGGTTCGGCTGAGCTAGGATTCGCTTGGAAGATGTGAGGACGGACGAGACTCTAGAGGGCCGAATTGCGACTGCCTGCTTGAGAAAACGCCTGGGTGGGGCTTCACAATGCTAGAATCAAATCGCATAGTAGCACAGACAGCTCTTTCGAATATTCCGGGCGACGTGTCACAGCTGACCTGATCACAGAACTACAAGATGAGACAAAATTCGTTGCATCTCAGTGTGGGCTCTACTCAATGATTTGCGAATTCCAGGAGGGCAAACTTTGGATAATCGATTTACCCCAAGCAGTTCCTGGCAAAGAAAGAACAACTTCAAGAATGTTTACGTAACCAGCGCAATTTCCAATTGTCATCATCCAGAAATAGATACACATTACATGACAAGCGTGCATGTACCGCATCATAGGCCTATCACTGAAGAATCAGGCCCTGAATGCCAAATGACGGGCCCTCGAATGCACTCCAACCTGCAGACTGAAGACTGTGCTGAACGTGTAGCCAAGTTGCCGTTATCTGAAGACTCTCATGATGCAGCCGCCATTCAAAGAGGCGCTCCGCATTCGGACGGGAGACGTCTGGCGTGAGGCCTGGGATTTGCACGTCTTGCCATGTGCGATGATGCTGATGCTGAACATCTTCGGAAAGCTCCTAGAGGGGCATGTAAGCGTTCCTTTCGCAATCCTGCGCCGCAACGAAATGGAAGCAGACAGTCGAATCAGAATACAGCCCGCGCACCTGCACAAATCTTCCACCGAGGCTTCTCCACCGAGGCTTCCCTGTGACTTGCAGCCCTGGTGCAGTACGCCATGCATATAAAGGAGAGGCAAGCCAGAATGCCTGCAGCACAAACCCAGGCTGGGGGTCGCACATGCTGAACTGCTCAACATTGCTCAACGCTGCGTCGTGGACGTGCAAAATGCAATTCCAACAAATCACTTCATTGGCAATCCAAGGGCCGGGGCTCAGGAAGAATTTGGAGGGGGGGAGGGGGGGGGGAGGTCGACATCTCCATGGACCAAATGTTAATCTGCACAATGAGCGGCGCGCCCAGAATTTGATAGATTTTGATAATGTAGCTAGGGCATCACTGCTCTGCATACTGGCGCCTTTCCAATCCAAGCTTCATGGAACTGATTTGAAACAACGCCATACATTTGTCGTGTCCAAAGCTTGGCTTGTGAACCTGCTGGCTCCACTCTGAACGTGATGAATTATGACTCTTATGACACATATGACCATCTATGCATGCTATGTCATAATGTTAGTAGCATGCTACAATGCAAAGGCTCAGGGAGCCAGAGACGCAGGCACAAACCACCATACTGTAATCTGCCAGAGTCCGATCCCCCAAGGCCCGGCCCCATTGGAGGCCGCTCTGCCGGAGGCCGCAGAAGAGCCAGGCTGCAGCAGCACTCGACAGCAACCGGCCCTGCCAAGAGCTTCCAATGACTTCACCCATAGGACTCAAACAAGCTTGACAATAGGCCAGGCCATAGCTTGAGTCTGAAAAGGGGAAATTTCGACACAACCTGCTTGCCGAATGTCAGAACCTTTAGCAAACGCCTCATGCAAAAACTGAGCGACTCCTGGCTCAGGACGCCGTAAGTTGCAGGGTCGATCCGCGCCACAGCCATAACCTGTGAGCGTTGAGGGTTTGCGGACGGGGAACCAATTTGGACTGTGTGACTATAGGTTACTCTAGGCAAACACTGGCTCCTGAAGGCAATAAGGCTCGCTCGCATGATGTGAAGCTATGCTCGCATGCTGGCCTGAAGCACAGAAAGCCTGCGTGTTGTTTGGCTTTCGTGCGACACTGATGCGGCTCCTAGAAACCCAAGCATCTGTGGCCTCACAAGCATCGGCCATGGCCCATCCGATCCCTGCAGGTGCAAATGTGAGGATCGAGCGGAGATCGAAGCAGCGCCTCCCGACCAGACATGGACTCAGGATTGCCGGGACTGATTCCAGCCCGACTTGCGCATGCCAGCGCGCTACAAGCTCGACATTCAACATGGAAGCTGATCTTTGCGCTTCTTTGCAACGCCTTTCCTACTGGGGTTCCAGTGCGCGGACAATGGAGCTTGAAGTGCTGGAGATGTCTCTGAAAGCCTCACGGCCTAAAGTGTCTTTGAGCTGATCACCCCTCCTCGAAATCCATATCTGCAGCTGACAACTGCATCAGTTCTCACAACTTACGTCAGCCAGGGATCCAACGGCAGCATGGCCTCAGGTGATGCCTTCCTCCTGTGGCCGCGCTCAGCAGCAAGCCGACACTTGCAATAAGTAGCCAGGAAGCCTCAAGCGAACAATTGTTGCCCTCAATGGTATGACCCACTGAAACGATAGCTGTGTCTATAGCCAAGGCCAAATCATGATAATCATAGAAGTTGTCCTGGAGACGAAGCTTCCTGCAGAATCTATCCTCCAGCACAAGAACTGCAACTTTCCCAACCCTGAGATTCTGATTGATGAGCATTTCGCTGGATGCACTCTACATTAGGTGGAAGTACAGAACGAAGGCACCATCAGAAGGACTCTGCAGACACAAGAAACCTAAGCATCCAAGCAGCCACGATGACTGAGCCTTCCTTGAAAGGCCGTCCTGCGGTGTGCTTTGGGGAAGTTGGAGAGACAGAGAGAGAGACAGAGACAGAGAGAGAGTCAAACAGTGGATTTCTGTGGCTTGCAGATGCTAGGTCCCCTTACTGGCTGCTCTGCGCGCACAGCCCTACGAAGTTCCTACTGTTGGCTTGAGGCTGCTTGGTCCTTTGTGCTTGTTATCTTCAGGAAGATTTTCAACTCCCCAGGCCGCCCTGAAACGTCGATCCTTTTGCTGCAAAGTTAATGTTTTCGTGCATCTACTTAGTGCTTCAGCTAAGCTGACAACATAGGGCCTACTTCCAGGTCTCACTGATGTCAGAGACCTGCAGTGCGACCGGCCTTTGATCGCCACACCGTCTGCACTATGGCCAACAATCTTCGCCCAGGACCTGAGGTAAGCCGAGCCATGGGCCATGGGAGTGGAAAGTCCACAACACAGAAACCCAGCACAGTTCAACAGAGTCTCTCAAAAGTAGCACGTTTTCTGAACGGTAAGAGCTGTCGAACCAAGAGGACGGGGGACAAGCAGCTTGCAACAAGTGGCCAAGGTGAAAAAGTTAGATCAGAATGCCGGGCGAAGCTGTTTTATAGCGGAGCTGTTTACCGACATAGGCCAAGCAGAACAGAAGACACACAAGCAAGAGCTGACGGCCAGTTGCAACATGATTGATGTTCAAGGCGTACACTCTAGACTGTCCAATAATAAACGTAGAATAATGATAAAGATGCGCAGGGTACTCGCTCTATACCAAACCCACACTGCTCCGGATTCAGACCTTTATAATCCTCCAGAATGCACGGAGAATCGTTCCAGCACATAAAGGCAAGAGCTAGCCTCAAACAAGACAAGAACCCTGAACTAGGACCAGGCACACCGTCAGCGGGCAAGCTGCGTAGGTGCCAACCTCAACGCTGCTGCGTGATTTGGCTTCCCAGCCGAAAATGCACCAAAAACAGTGGCATGAGTCCTGATGCATTTGCTGAACATTGAGGGGTTCTCAGCTGGCACAAAGTCGGACACAAACAGTATTGTTCCGCCATGCACCGAGCGCTGTTACTATCTTGGGGCAGCATAGCTATCAAATGAAACCTACTACATGCAAGACCCGACTGGGTAGAGGTATTCCTGGCATTCCCTGAACTTGAGGTTGGACCTGCTTTGATATCTGATGCCGGGGCTAGGACCGGCTAACTGGGAGGATGGGGCATTTCTTGCTCTGCTATCGTTATGGCCTATCATGTATCTAGATCTTGTGGTCTAGGTCCCGGGGGGTCACTAGGATTTACCAAGCTCAATAAACACAAATGAAAACAAAGAACGACAAAAGACAGACAAACAACGACAAATGCAGACGAACAAGGCTACTGACTTACGGCTGTGTTTGCTTTAGAAGTCTGCATGTAACATATGTGAATGACGCTGACTTTTCCTGCATGCATGTATGGGAGTGCCTCAGACAAGGCAAAGCGTTTTTCGAACTGGCGTAGGGAGCTTTTAGGGTTTAGGGTTTTGCGCTGGGCTCTGCCCGCTCTGGAGGGACGCAAGAAACAGAAATATTCTGCATGCAGACTTCAACAAGGCTGGTGTAGCCACACAATTCTCTGCCATCCTAGGACGGGAGCCCACGTCATAGACCTTCCCATTCCAAAAACTAATCAAGTCGTTGTTTGCTGTTGTTTGCCGTTGCTTGTCCTTCTGAGGGCAAAGAACAACGAATACAGAAAAAGTAGGGCAAGACTCGCGATTTCATGCTTCATCACAGACCCTAGGGGCATCTAGACCACGGGGATCTAGATACAGGATAAGCCCTAATGATGCTTTCAGATTTGTATGAGCAAGGTGGGACCCTAGCAGCTTGCAGCATCCCCGAACCTGCACCCTGAACCCGTGCATTCGCCGCTGACATGCCAGACTTCAAACATCTCCAAGATACAATCGCAACTGGAAAGCAACGGAAAACAAGCCAAGGAACCACCAGCAAGAGGGTGACAGCCTGCCTTAGCTGTGATCTCTGGCTTCGGTACTTGGCACTATTCGACCTGTTCCCTTACCATCCTTGCAGTACAGTGACAGTAAGTAAAACATTGTCTGCCTCAATCTGTACCATACCTACTCTCGCTGTGGCCGTTTCACTAGCTTCTGTTGAAACTGCTTCTACTTCTTGGGTTGCAACTGAATTCAACGTGCTTGAGACGATACTAGGCTTGGTTTAGATATCTCTGCCATTCATGGAATGCGAGTCTAAAAGGAAGACGCAAGGAGGCCAGCTAGCCCACCAAAATCGAATACACGAGTTACAGCTAAAATCATATAAACGCAAGACCTGTGCTCCAGTAGCGGTCTAGCTCACTATAACGTGGGTTCATTGGCACTGCATGACTTAGCCACATCAGACTACAGCATAACTTAGTCTGCCACATGTTCTCCGAATTCTAGACCCTTCTCCGGCCCCTTCCAGTGTTGCCATCTAAATTATGCAATGCGCAACCTATCAAACTCGAGTAGCGAGATCCTAAAGCATCACTACAGATGGGTTAACTTTCAAGCTGCAGCCCTTGCTTTGCATGAATGCCTCCAGACTGCCGCTCTATCTGCAAGCTTCAGCTATTTGACATGGGGAAACGGATCCTATAGATCTAAAGCTGCACAAAGGGGATTGCAAGAACGCAGCAGCGAAGCTGTCGCGAGGTCAGCTGCAGCGGAGGCCTTCAACATCCTGCAACACCCCTGTAACCCCTTCATGCATGCTGTGCCCAAAGTTCTCTCCGAGCAGCACGGCCAATCCCAGCTGCGTCTGGAGCCGCTGCCACAGACGAGGATCTTTGGCCTCTTGGTGGCTTCCACAGCAAGGCTCGTGCAGGCGGGGCTGGAACATTTTGCTGCAGGGAACATTTTGCTCGCTTGTTTACCAGACTGCCTGCTCCAGTTGGTGCTTGCATGTGTGATTTCTGCTAGATGGAGCATATGAAGATTGTGCGCTGGCTTGCAGGTTGTTATTGAATGAAAAACATTTGAGGAGTCTGCAGCCAACTCAGAGTTCGGGGTTGGACATTTAGCCCTAGTGTCACCGCGATGTGATACTTCTCCAAACGCCCCTCAAGGCTACATTCTCAGAGCGCTGTAGCACCTTGAGGTCGGACTCCATCTCTGGACTCAGCATCCAAATCTTCCTGCAAGGAGACAAGTCTTGATTCTTGAGATTTCAGACTTGTTGAAACGTGGTCAAATGGAGGTTGTTGGCAAATGGCCACGAGGCTGGGCTGCAGCGAGGCCCAAGCTTTTCAGGTGCTCCCACCCGACAAGGTTGAACTCCCCAAATGCATTCGTGCAGCACTGCTTGCTTTCTTTCAAGCTCCACAGGAAAGCAACAAGCAGACCATCAAGCTTCAATCCATACTGCGTGAGCTCCATTGCCATGGCCACTGTAATCTTTTTCTTAAGGACACAGCCAACAGGCCGCAAAGCCATCTGAAGATCTGCAATTTCGCAGGCCCAATTCTCTGAGGAACTAGCGTTGCAGCCCAGGCTGTTGCAGACGGGCGTGCGCTTTGGCTCCTGTATCCTAATCTCCGGTTCTCGCTCCTGTCTGTGAAAAAGAATGACAAAAAGCATGTTGATCAGAATAGTCAGAAAGACTACCGCAAGACGAAACTAACGATATCTCACATTGCACATTCTCGACCAAGCCTTGGGGATCGTGCCTCGAACGATGGCCACGAAGCGCAACCTTACAGGAATGCCCTGGTGCAGCAGTGAACACCAGTGAACAAGATGAATCTTCAGTCGCAATACCAACTCTCAACGAGATATCCTGGCAAAGGTCATGCTGAGAACCTTCATCTGAATTATTACACTGCGCGAAACAGGAGAAACGTGTTTTGTCAGGAGTGTTTTTCGTAGCCTATGATGCCGGAACAGACACGCAAGATGCTCTCCTGTAGTAGAATAAAGCTGCAGCATGCTCCAGTGCATGGTTAACTCGTGCCACTGATGAACCTTGCGATGACCTGATCAATTACTTCTGGCCATGCTGTCCACTTGACAAAAGCAGAACTCGCTTAGGGAGCACGGAAGCCAGAAACATTAGTCAGGCCTCCAGAAGCCCTCCAACAAAGCCAGACAGAGCCAACCTGGCAAATCGCAGCCTTCGGCCCTGCCCCTGTCTGGGCCAATGGACGTGACATTTGCGAGGTCGCAGTGTCCATTCGCTTTCGAGAGGTTGTCTGTTGCACCTCGACCCCAACAAGTGGGTTGCCCCCTCAGTGTAAGGCAATTGCAAACAATACGCAACTTCTTGCGGATTACAATCTACAACAGTGCTTAAATCTCGGCCCCAAAATCATAAATCTTAAACCCTAAGCCCTGAGCCCTTAGCTATGGATCGGCGCTTCCATTCCCACTCTAGTTAGTGCCTGATGGCACCTAAAGAGTTTCTGAACCTGCTGAGTCTGACCCTTGAGCAGTTTGGGCTTCTGAGTTTATGTGTTACGATACCAGCTGTCAACGCGAGCATTCCAACAAGAACCAGAGGATAATCAAATCATCATAAAATCATGAGCCCCGCAAACTCCAGCACCCCATCCAACAGTAAAGGACTATTTGGGAGATGTTCAAACACACGTTGCCATAATTCATACATGCATGCAGCTGCAGGCTGCTGCGCCCTTTCATCCAGAGCACAGGAGATACGAAGTCTGCTGGCAACGCAACGACGTCATCGCTCACAAGATCTGAGACCTACCCAGGAGGGATGGGATCTTCATCTTTCACAGGTACTGTGCAACAACATCACTACTGTCGCCGCGGCCGCCAATGCTCCGCGACAACAACAAGATCAACAACAACCACCACCACCACCACGACCACGACCACGACCACGACCACGACCACGACCACGACCACGACCACCACCACCACCACTACTACCACCACCACCACCACCACCACCACCACCACAACCACAACCACAACCACTTTAACAACCCCAACAACCACAATCCACCACAACCCACCACAACCCACCACGACCAACCACGACCAACCACAACCAACACAACCAACACCACCAACACCACCAACACAACAACCACCACCACTACCAAGACCACCACGCCCACCACCACCAGCACCTCCAGCAACGGCAGCACCAGCAGCACGACACCGCCACTTCTACTCCTGCCACAGCTGCATCGTTACTCCTGCTCTAATTTCGGCCTTTCTTGTTATTTGACTTCTGATTTCCTACTCCTGCCACTGAACTACTTCTCGACGAGACCAATCAGTCACGTGAGACTTTTAGTATTTGAAACCTTGGTACTCTCCTGAGGGTGCACAACCAACAGCGCGCGCATACCCTTCAGCAAGTCACCATCAGCAACATTAAAGTTCAAAGCCATGCACTGGCCATGTGAAGTCACCAACAACAAGAGTAGATGCCACAGATGCAACTTTTCATACGCTGTCAGTTATTCTTCGTAGGCCACCCCCTCTTGGTAGCGCGGGCTCATGCCGCAGGAACTCAAAGAGTGCAGTCCCTTTTGGTATGAGTGCTGATGCTGCTGCTCTCCTGATTCGTTTGGAAAGTTACGGCTAGGGAGTTTAAGGTTCAGGGCTTTAGGGCTTAGGGTTGCGCAAAGCGTTTCGATGCTGAAGGCAGGGTGGACCCCAGGCCGGAAACCACAAAATACATGCAAAAGAAGCCACAATGATGGAGCTTCAGGCTTTTGCATGCCAGGGGCAAAATGATAGTGCTGAACGCGTGTCGCACAACATCAGCTCGGACATAGCAAGCTTACAACTGCATGAAGGCAAAGAGGAGCGGCACCTCACCATGAGCACCACTGGCGAGTCCAGTTCGCCACTGCAGGTTCCTGGCACATCTGTGTTGCCTCTTGGCTGTCGGTTGCGCTCTCTAACAAACTTAGCCTTCACGAAAGGCCAGTTCCGCTTGCTGTGCTCGCACGCCACGATGTGAGCTCATGTAGTCTAGAGGAGCTGGAGCGGCCACACGGGAACCGAAGCATGGAGCAGCAGCAGCAGCAGGAGCAGCAGCAGCAGCAGCAGCAGCCCAGTCCTGTGTCGGTACTCAAGCCACTCAGCTGGGTCCTTGGCTTCTACTCCAGTTTCATTCTTAGGAGGTCTCGTGGCATGAAGACATTGACGGACGGACCCAGTACCACTTCCGGAAATTGTGAATAGCATGAGCGAGCTTCATCCACCCCGTCCAACATCAGCGCAGACCTTAGCAAAGCTTTCGACGTCTGGGTGTGGACATTTGAGGAGTCGCATGTTAAGCTGCTGCTATTGCGGAGGATCTTCACTCGGTCTACTTGCTGAGCCTGAATTGGTCAGGATAGTCTGCTACGCATATTTCCAAACCTGCACATACCAGCACATCAGAAGCATCACAGGAAAGCGGACCACAACTTGCCCTTGAGAGCTCCAGGAAAATTCTGGAATCCTTCACCTGAGCTGTATCGCGAGATGGTCACGGCAACCTTTTGGGAAGGCCTCAGTCCAGGTGCCGTCCCAGCACTATAATATACTATAATGGCCGGGGTGCTTGGTGAGGAGCTCCCACAGAGTCTTGAGATGGCCAGCCTGCCAAAACAAACATTGTCTCGCAATGTAAACCTGATCGCTACGGTTCATGCTGCTGCTCGTTGTTACGAATCATGATCTCTGCCAAACACATGTGCAAGCAGCACCACTTACCAGCCAGGAAGTGGCTCCTGATCAGTTGTCTAGCCTGCTTCTGCTCCGTATACTCGCCCAACGTTCTGGAAGAAGACTTCTTCGGCCTTGGCAGCACCATGCCGCGGTTCCATACAGAAGCCTTTGGCAGCAAGATGGCCCCAAGCGACATGGATCCCACAATGCTTGCAGAAATTTGAAACTGGCATACTCCTCGCCAATTCCAACGTGAAAAAGGATGCAACATGGCTTGTTCCCTGTGCATGCATTGTCTGTGGCCACCACTATCTTTATCTTCGTGTCTTGATGCGTGACAAAGCTATGATAAGGGATCATTTATACTCATAGGCCCAAACTTGCCAGGGCGCCCGTGCAAAAGTGCTTCCCTGCAAACCCGGTGCAGCTGACATGCATGATAAGTTCACCAAAGATTCCTCTGACATCGCTTCTTTACATGCGTGTCACTCGCAAGTCAAGCTAGCTTTGGCCCCCGCATTGCAATCTGCCCTTTGGACCCCAGTTCATCCAAGATACAGCTTTCTCGCCATGGACATGCTGGAGAATGCTGGCAAAGCAAGATCTCTGCTAAATGTACGTGCTCAGATTTTGTGTTGTGGACCAGTAGTGCGGTGCACTGCTGGACGGGATGTGGATCTGAATTGGGCTGACAAAGGCTGTGCTAAGTCAGATACGTGGCACAGGCCGTGTTTCTATCCATTTCTATCATGCCATGGTGAGCAGGCGGCCCTGCTTCCGCAAAGCGCTACTCGGCAAAAGACTGTGATCTTCGGATCAAATGAGAGGGTCGGATAAGGGCGGTTTTGAAAGCGCCACGAAGCTAACTAATGACTGTAAGCCGAGCTCACGCAGCAGGAGCACGCACTGCTTGCTGCAAGCCCGCACGCATCGGTTCGCAGTGCCTGCTTTACAACAGATCTCGAGAACCTTATGTAAGCATCGCACACCTCAATACGTTGTAGGAACGGACACCATGATGCTGGACATAATAGGAATGCTGCATGCGGTGTCTGTTTTTTTAAGCGTGCTTTGCTTCATGTGCTGCATCTTGGGGACTCGAACCGCCTTGGGTCGAACTTTGTCATCATTTTCTGGTGCAGCTCTGACGGTGCCTCGGCTGCCGTGCAGCAGTGCAAGAAATCTGGTCTCTGAACGGAAGATTCCAATCTCATGACTTCTCAAATGCAAAATCCTGCAAGGGATCTTGGCCTACAAGTAGGATGCATTCAAACACGATGGGCCCGTCCGCAGGTTTTCAAATCTGAGGCATATACCGAGATCCATGTCGTAAGGGTCCAAAATGCAACTTCGGTGCGGATGACCTTGTCACAAGCGGTCGGCGATCGCGGGCGCAAACCTTGGCATGCTGCTGCCTCAATTTCCATGGAGCTCTTTTGCTGCCAAAGCCTTGCCTGACTTTGCTGTTCATCCACTGCCTTGGGGGTCTGACTGATTGGCACCTGGACTGCTCAGCGATATTCCTGCAAAGTTGAATACCCTTGCTGAGGAAAATGCTGCGAGATCATTTCTGGTATTTGACTTGGACTTTGGCCGCAGGGGAGCTGAGATTCTTTTATACTGTTTACCATCCGACAAGGCAAGGGGCATGAGGTGGTGTCGTATTCTGCCAGCTGGACCCCGCAGAGAGGCCCAATCTACCAGAAGCATGTGGAAGGTCAACTTAAACCTTGTCTCATGATGAGTTTCTTGCATACGCAACTTGAAAGTGTGTGTGTGGATGCCTGTGTCCAATAATCTCAAAAAAGACCACAAATAAAGCATGCTACCTTAAATCTGTCATGACATTGATGTTAATGGACCTTTTTGCACCTCAGAAGAAGAGTTCAAAAGAGGGCACACTTGAGGAAGCCGCAAGCGATGCCAAGCTTGGCCTCGCTTGCCGAGCAACCAAATAGCTCCCAATGATGTGAGGATGCGAAACAATAAAACAAGTACTACAACGTGATTAGACCTATCTCATCCTATCTTTAATTAGCTCCTTTTCAGAATTTGAGTTGACAAGTTTTGAAGATGCAGGTGCTGCCGCCTGCTTGCCACGTTCCAGGCCCGGCCACTTGCGTTGGACTTCACTTTGGCGTTTTGTGGAGTCCCGAGCACCATTAGATCCTCTCACCAGTTCCAGTTTGAGCCCAGGCGCTGGAAACCGGAGCCGCTGAAGCCGCAGGCCAGAACCACATTCGGATCCTTGGGTCAGAAGGTGGGTGCGTATCAAATGGGAATTCTCAGGTGTATCTTCAAATATCAAGATGCTGACCTGACGAAAGAATGGCTTGTCTTGAGACAGGTGAAGTTCAAGGTTGGAACATGACTCTCGTCTTCTGAGGATTCCTGTCTTGAATCAAGCTTTCAAGTTAAGCTCATCACAACAAGACAGCATCACTGATACGGCGACAAGCGTGTGGAAGCTCCAAATGCAGAAAAAGTCAGCAATATGCCACTAGCCGAAGGGCAACAAAGCACAACACTAATTCTTAGCCAGATTCGGGACCAAGCTCGATGATGTAACTTCTGACCGCTACGGCGAATCATCCAAATTTTGCTCAGGCATGTATTGCTATTGGCATTGGAAATATCTGAGCGGAATCATCAGGACATAGCAGTTGGCGAGGCGCGTCTGGATGTCGTCCCACAATCATCTGCAGGTCTGGAGTGAGCTGGTACAAGCATCGCATGTACCTTTGCTGCATTGTGCTAGCTTCCAAGCTTCAGCCGCTAAAGCCAGCGGCGGAGCGTTCAACTCTGGATCAGGGCTCCAGATTTCTTTGATCGACATCATGTTTTCAACCTGTTGTTGCTTGCCTTTATCAGAACATGTCATGATGGCCGGCAAGCAGATCTGCCCATACCCCCTACCGGTTTACACATGAAGTCCAGTTTGAGCAAGGAGCCCAATTGGATGGTCAGCATCCAAGCCAGGCATCTTTGCCTTGAGAAAAGCCTGCTAGGGGCTGCTTCTTCAACGTGGGCTTGGATCCAAGGATGGCCCGATCGCTGCTAGAGCAACGGCACTAAAAAGCAGCAAGCAGATGACTCTCCTTGATTTTGGACAACGAGAAATCATCCCAGTCGTACTCCTGCAAATGATAGAATCTGCATGGATGCCTATCCTTTTGGAGGTGCTTGCCTGAGGATGCTAGACGAGTGAAGCCTTTCAGATGTATTTTCGCCCAATGCTGTGGAGAAACCTGTATGATGCGATCATCCCTTTCCCATGCTGGCCAAGAGGATACTTTGCACGTTTGCACGCAAATGCGGGGTCCTGCTGAGTCCGAAGCTCCTGTGCAATGGAGACTTATGGGTGACTGCTACAACAACGTGCTACAGCTAGACTTCAACTTCCTCACTTGCATCGCAAGCAGCTGTGTCAGAATGTCTGCCTTGCCACTTAAGCACCAGCAACCAGTTGTTGGCAGGGAAAATCTGTTGCTCAAGCTCGTTTCTTGCTTTATATCAACATACTTGTGTTTCTTGGGCAGGTATCATGATTCTTGTGCGCAATGGTTACGAGGATGATGCTGCTGACGATAAATGTCAGATGACAGCATGAAAATGACCGAACCAAAAGCACATACATAGCGCAAGCGCACCCATTCCTTTTGTAGCACAGTGGAGTGTGGTGGCAGTCGAGTCTCATTCGTTCCTGCTTCCGGTGCACTTGGACCCTCCAAGTTCGGGGCTAATGGCACCCGTACGCTTCAGGCCACAATTAAGGCCAAAAGAAAATAAAGCTGGAGTTGACGCCCTAGAACAGACGCCAAACACTCCCAGCAAACGAGACTGCCGCCACCTGCCCATCCAGCACCCTGCACGGGCCTTAGGATGGGGCAAAGAGTTAGATGAGCGGAGTGGGACCATATAGAACAGTATTCAAAAGGGAAAATGAGGAAGCACTGATTCGACAGACACTTCCTTCTCTTTGCAAAAGCCTGCAAAATTAGGGTGGGTGAGTTCATCAGCCCACGTATTGAGATGCCGCTTCACATGAGACGGAGCCAGCTGCAGGCCCGCACCGTGGATCTGGAGGAGCATCTCCATGAGGACCTGGGCGGGGTGAAGCTTCCGTGTTTTCTGGTTGAGCATCGAGTAGATGTTGCCCTAGTTATCCGAAACCATGCGAATTCGGAGGTTCGGAACCCGTGCATTGTCCTTCAAGATGAGAAACTTTGCCAGGAGAAGAGAGCCAAACATTTCAAGGTCTCCAATTCTACGTTTGGGGTCCCCCTTTTCGAATGCCCAGGGGTGCTTCTCCGGCGTGATCTGGTAATGGAACCAGAAGACCTCCTTCTTCTGCGGGTTGTCCAGGTTGGAGAGCCATCCGCCCAGGAAGACAGCGCCAGTCTCGGAGGCACTTGCGTCGCTGGCTCCATGCCATGTTGAAACTGGAGCAAAGGGGGAGGCTTGCCTGCGCTGTCCTTCAAACATGCGTAGCAGCAAAGAAGCAAACAGACGAACAATCATGGGCGGCCTGCCAGAAGACTTGCACGCTTGCTTCCAAGCCCAGAAGGGCTGAAGAAAAGGCTTAGCGGCAGGGCAAGCAGTGGTGGGTTACTGAATGCGCCCCAAAACACTTGCAATACGGGCTGCTGACATAACCTTGCAGTCGGCAAGGTCCTGGAGGGCCTCCATGACCAGAAGGTGCTTGGCTTTAGCCATCTGTACAATGGGACCCACCGGTGTTGATGACAAAGCCCAGCCACGTATTGACTTCAGCCAGAAGCGTTTTCTTCGAGCCAGGCGTAATCGGCCACAAAGACGAAGGACCAGTCGATTCAGGGGAAGACTGCGTACAGGATGCGGAGAAGGGCCGCCGCTTGTCTGCCCCATAAGAGTGGGGGCTGCGTATCCAGCTCGTTGATCCCCGCCATCGGGCAGGAGCAGAGGTCCTCTGCCCTACAGTGGCAGACCTGTGCTGCTTCCTGCTTCGTCAGTGGGCCCGTGACCATGCCGAGGTCCACTTCCTCCATGAAAGTGGTCCGGATGTGACCAGCATAGGATTCTGCCGACGAGTAGTTGGGACACGGCCTTGCCCGACGAGGAACTTGGCCTTGCCATACGCCTCCTGCATCTTCTCCAACTCAGGAATGAAGCAACCCGACTCCATAGCCTGCCGCAACTTCTCGGCCAGGCAGGCACTGCATCCGCCACTGGGCTGAGGAGGTCACGCTGGATCGTCCCCTCCTCCTGGCGGCGCTTGTTCTGCTTTGGAATCATCGAGCTGGGTCTGGGCATCAAGCAGGATCGAGGTCAAGATGGCGCAAGACCTGGGCGGACTTGGCCACAGGGCCCCCGTCTGCAGCTCACGCAGCACCCAGCTGGAGGTTGATGACGGCATCAGCCTCGGCCTTGGTTGGTCTGCGCGACTTGTCCTCCACCTCGACATCTGGAGCTTTGTGGCTCTAACCAATTTCGGGTGGAAGACTTTGCGTTCCTGACCAGGGATACTGTTGGAGACCTTCCAGGGCCGCTCGCCCTCTGCCTTATCCAGGAACTGGATTTCATCAAACGGCTGCTTGGCAACTTCGTGCTGTAATCTGACTCTCAGGGCCAATGGCACCTGATTAGCAAAGCACTGCTCTGTCCCGTCGGTGGCAGACAGCGGGCGCTCGGCGTCGTCGCCAAGGTCCACGGCCATCTCCTTGGAGAAAAGTGCCAGTCGGAGTCGCCGCCTGCCACGTGATGCCCTCCGGAGTGTAGACGAGCTTCCAGACAATGCCGTCTGCCTCGAGTTTTACTTGGGGTTTTGGACTTGTTCAGCTATAGGGCTGGGAGTTGTCTGTAGGGTGGGCTCTGGCAGGTAGGCGGGGCGCGATCCACAGCAATGACCTGCTTCTTGCACAAAATGCAGGTGCCCTCCACCTTGGAACTCGTCCACTTTTGGAAGCAATTTGGGCACATCAGGTCATAGTCCTGCTGGCCTGCCTCGAGGCGCTTCATGTTCGCGCCTATGCCCTGGCCCCTCGTTGGCGTAGCGGACCTTCAGCATCCACCTCCTGAAGTGAAGCACCAGCGTCACTGCGTCATCATTGGTGATGCCCCTGGCCAGCTTCTTCGTGGCCTCATCCACATACGGCAAGCCCTCCGGAAGCCCTTGATCGCGTAGCGGCCGGGCTCCTTCATCTCAAACTGGATGGGCGCTGAGGGATCAATCACATCGGCCGTCGTGTCCATGAGCTTTACCTCCTGATTGCCCCCTTCCTCGGGGCCAATGGCGCCCGTGGTCGGGGTCTCCGTTGGCTCCACCTCCATAGACGAGGACGCAGCAGCACCAACCTCTCCCTCGGGGCCAATGGCGCCCGTGGTTGAGGTGTCAACCACCACCGTCTTGACCGACTTGCGGGGGCTGATCTCAACGATCTCGGCCTCATCATCAAAAGCCAGCTTCTTCTTCTCCTTGTCCACCGACAGCTTGGCCAATGCCTCCTCCAGTTCCTTCAACTTCTCAGAGAGCGGCTTGTCATCAGAGTCAATCAGCTGAGCCTCCGCCAAGAAAGGCGTGGTCTCCTGCTCCTCCTTGATCTGGATCCACTCACTGTCGCTTCCCGACATCTCGACATCAACATCCGAAGGTGCCACAAGTCCAACTGGCAAAACGCCAGACGGGAGGTCAGCAGCTGCCGAGGCGCTGGCAGCAGGCACGGATGAGGAAGCCATGACTCAAAGAATGAGTGATGCGTAGAAGCAAAGAGAGCTTTTTCAAATCACAGAAGGACCGACGGTCCACAAGCTTGGAGCCAAAATGGCAAGGCCATTTTGGCAGCATGTTCCTGACATATGCCTTGCATTCTGCAGGCTACAGCAAGTGTGCAATGATGATGCAAATGTATTCCACCAGGGAAGTTGCCCGTCCTCTGGCACAGCAGTCTTGCGCTTTCTACTCCACGCTTGCACAGTTTTTCCATCTTCTCCGCCGTTCAACATACTCTCGGCTACAAGCCCCGTCGTCCCGCTCGTTTTAGCGTACATCAGCTTCTTCCCGCTTGAGGTCTGACACTTTCTGTTGTTTTCTGTTCTTTTCTCTGCAGTCTCACTTCCTCCTTCCTGATTGTCTTTCCTGAGCCCTCCTATATTGCGAACAATGCTGGGTGAAATCCTGTGAAGATGCAAGCAGGCCTTGCGAATGTTCGGTAGCTGGTCCTGGCAAACTGGCATGAGTCACGCTCAAAATCATCAGAATTCAAAACAACAGCCTAAACTAAACGGTTGACACATAAACTTTTAAGCCTCAACCTCATTCAACCCCTTGTCAGCTCGGGGGAGGCTGCATATGACTGTATCCTCCGGCCTTTGAAGCCCGGCCCTCAGGCGTAACCACCTGGCCACGGTGCAGTCCGCAAATGTCAGCAGGTTTCTGTTGAAGTGTTACCAAACAGAAGAAATTGGAAGGGCACCCCCTACGTTGACCTCCCTAATGCTCATAGAGTCAAATCCGCCCCTTGGCAAAGCTGCGTGCCAACAACTCGCCAGACTTACAAACTCGTCAGTGTCCAGCAGGGGTCCTTGCCGATGAAAGCCGACCTTCCTGTAGTTGGGCTTCGTGCGGCCTGCCTGCCTTCCTGAACTTACAAAAGCGCAATTTGATTGCACTTCGGGGCAAGCGTGTGAACCGCATAAACCTTCTAGGGCGTGGGGCTTCTTTAGAAGGCCGAAAGGATTTAGTTCCTGGTTGAAGCTCGTGCATTTCTGCTTCTAAAATGGCCACTGTGCATTTGAAGCCAGTCCCCGGAAACTTGTGCAAGCAACAGTCAACAAGCGTGACCACGACTGAGTTTCCTTCAGCCCCATCAAAGCCCACGACGCTGTACGAGCTAAACACCTGGAAACCTTCTCAGGTCAAGGCATTGCAGCGGACACATAGCTGCTGAAACATGTCATGATGTTGATACCACAGAACGCGTGAGCTAGCATGGCCAGTCAGCGATTGCTTTAATATGAGGCTCTAAGCGCATAGAAGAAACATGGGGGCAAAAGTTCATGCCCCAAGTCGTAAGGGCGGTACACGCCCTGCGAGCCACTGCTTGCCAGCGGGCAGTGCGGTGTGGTATAGAAATATAGACCTGGGGAGTTGTCCGACGACGGGGCATCAAAATATAAAACCCATCCGTCATGGAAAGACAACACAAAGGCGACAGGAACTGCAAATAATATGATGTCAGAAGGAAAAATTCACCGCTGCCTGCTACTGCCTTACAGAGCCGGCATTCTTCGAACAGCTACAGTCTATGCTAGACAATCTTCTTTTTGAAGACGCGTCCCTTCTACTGCAAGTCGATCGAAAAAAAGACCTTAAAACCTTGAGACTTGCGTATTGCTGGCATAATAGCAGCCGAACACTGTTTTGTGCGTAGAAGCCTTCTGGGCTTCAGTGAAAGCCTGTGCTAGCTCTACAAGGAATGCCATGGCTTCTGTCTAGTCCTGGCTTGAGCTTCAGCAAGGCTTACAAGCACTCTCAATCTTGATGATATGCAAGGCGCATCCACCGTCTTCGTTGCGACCTTGCAGTACACAGGCTTGGAAGCGCAGGAAGACAAATGTGCACTGAGAATGAATTTCTGTTCTCCACATGCAGCATGACGGATACAGAAGGAGGTGCAAAAGTCTCTAGAAGAGTGCTCCTTTGCCTCGGGCAAGCTCGCAGCTCAAGAAACTACGGTACGCCTCTTAGACTTCGGGAGGATCATTGCTGTGCGATTTCCAACCCCCTTTTTGATACTACAAGTAGTAGCGCCCCGGCCTTTGTAACCTGCCTCGCTCCATGTGAAGAGCGGAAAGTCGGACCTCTGCACAAAGCTGCACAAAGCACTCCGACATAGAAGGCCGTGAACTGGGATGGGTTGAATACCAACGAATTAACTGAATTTCCGGAACCATACCAGTCCGTATGGACCGGCTACGGTAGTGCGTGCTGAGTCTGAGCAGAAAATGCCGTGGCCCTGCAACTTTGCACAGCAAGCAATTTTTGAAAAGCTCATCTGAGTAGCCAGTCGTGCGACGGGGCGCCCTCCTGAACTTGCCCGAGTTGTCAGGTTGAAAGTACAAGTCTCTCTGCTCATCAAATATCATCAAATCTTGCTTATCAGCCGCCCATGCAACCTGCTGCACATCTCACCCCCCTCATCGATGCCAACCTCCCCCAAGCGCAGAAAGGGCTTACAATTATCGCTTTCAAGTACGTAAAAACAGAAAGCTTTGTTCAGTGAACTTCTTGTACCGGTCCTTTGGCTGAAACTCGACAGTCTGCTCGTTGGACACTATCATCCTCAGAGGTCGGAATGCTTGAGCTTGTGAGGCAGGCGATGATCCAAGACTCACCAGCAACTGAGATGTTACACCACAGCTGGGGGGGCGCTCACCCACACTTCTGTCAAGCGGCGGAAGGCCGCGCAGGCCTGCACCTCAAGCACGAAAAGGCCAAAGATTGCCGCTCGGGATCAGCTGCAAACATATTTTGCATAACACAGGCCTTGGAGGATTTGATTTGTCCATGGGCCGGCAGTGACCACGAGCTTACCTGGGCACATGCTGGCATTGCGGCTACGGACAAAGCAATTCCGGCTTTGCCCAGTCCTTTGTTGATTCCCGTGATCATTCTATAATATGGACCAGGGTTCGCAGATGCCACGAATGTCAACTCTGTACAGAAGCCTGCCAGTAGGGTAAAGTTGAGCTGCAGTGTGGGCTTCGCACTTAAGATGCAAGTCCTTTGCCATAATAGAACATTCCCAGAACTGAAGCCGCAACTTTCCAGGAATTGATTTGACCCAAGGAGCTAAAGCGAACGCTCTGGCCATTCTTGGTGGTCAATGTCTTCCGCTGCCGGTCGATGCTTACCACCTGAGTCAAGTTGATGACTGCTCAGGCGCAAGTCATAAAAGGCCACTGAGGGTCTGCCATGACAGATATCCTACGCACAAAATCTGCAACTTCATTTAGCCGATGGGAAAACAGGCAGTGGGGAGGAACGCATGATTGTAGCCCCAGGCCCAATTCCCTGAACATGTACCCCTCGAACCGGGTCTCTGACTGCATCCTCATGATATCCGGCGCCAGCGGCCTCATGTTTGGAATTTACGAACATTTCTGAGAACGTGAGTCTTGCATATATCAGTGAGCTTGTTATCTAGCTAGCACGCAGTATGCCTTGCTTGCTAGTTTCGGTGGGTAGAGGGGAGTCAAGTTCAAGAGTGACTTCGGCCAGCGTCCACACCAACAATCGCGGAGAATCCAGCGAGCCAATCAAACAGAAGAGCGGCTGGACTGTTCAGCTACTCAGAGCAATTGCACCCTGCACTACAACACCCAATTACTGGTCACGGATCGGAAGCTCAGATCCAAATTACGAAGAACTTTACCCAGGATTGCCTCAGCTGCCCATCGAAGGCCATGGAGTGCCGTGGGCACTGAGATCGTGTAGCCCTCGGGCATGTACAGCAGCTTCCTTCAGCTCGATGACAGGGACTTGGTGTTTTTCAACTCAGCTTCGGGGTTAGAACAACCCATATTCAAATAAAGCCAGGCGCTCGTGGGGGTTGACACAGACCTGCGGAAAGCGCTGAGGAGTCTCTGCGGCGGTGAGAACCTCGGCCTGATCGAAGAGTTGAAACATGCAAAAGTTGAAACACGTGATTTGGCATGATCTTTACTTCGTCTTTGTTAAGGTTCCTTGGTCTGAACATGTCTGGAAGAATCAGAATCCAAATCCTGCAAGGACTCTGTCTGAAATCCGCCGAGGCCGGTGGAGGAGGCGGGGGACATCCGTCTGTTGGAAGCTGGCTACTCTCGGCCCTCTAGTACCCTTTTAGATTGACCCCGCAAACGTTTGTAAGAATTTTACTGATGATGCGGATCATGGATGCCTTACAGGTCGGCAGAATTAAAATTTGGCGTTGCAGATCCCCAGGAAATGTGCATCGTGCGAATGACTGACTATCCATCAATGTCAAGGCAGGCTGCCCTACTGGCACTGCTGCTACCTTCCACCATATCCCCGTCGTGGCGAGACTTGAAGTCTTCAGTGCGGACTCTGCGCACGTGAACCGACAACGCTTGAACATTACAAATCCTGTTTCAAATCTTCGCCCCGCCTCTCCCTGGCTTGCAGGGACCACACGTCGGATCTTTTCTGCGAGGGCCTGCCCAGGAACCACAGTAGAGACTCGCTCTCCAGAAGAGTCGCCCGCAGATAAACGTTACGGTCACTTTTCTAAGATCCAACGTCTCGTATAATTACCATGAGCTGCCTCTACACCTCAACTATGTTTTCTGCCTCTTCTCAAAAACCAGGCATGAGAAGCGCTACCTGTGTCTAGGAATCCCGGTACTTTCACATCACATGCACCTGCAACTAGACACAAAGGAACAAATCCACCAACCAAGTATCTGAAACTTTAAACATCAGTAATTATGAAAGCTGAAAAGACTGCCAAGCCATGGATCTCTCTTCCCATAGCGACAGCTTTCGCGGCATGGCCGTTTGCAGTTTACATGCGTTTTAAACTGAAAACCGTGGAAGGAAAACACCATCCTATGTGCCGCGGTATGCAGAAATCTAGCACACGGCCTTGCCTCAACCACCGCTCCCGGCCCAGCCATCAAACCGCCTGTCCTGGAGCAGTTTCTCTGGATGATGATTCTCAGGAGTGAATGAACAAGTCGACATTCGCTCGCAGGCCTACATGCTGAGTGAGAGCAAAAATGAAATCTCACATGCCTTGCAGTCCAGCAGTAGAGTCAAAGCTGCACAGCTGCACAGAACAGAAACGATCCGACGAAGCACTGTCTGAGCCTAATCCAGTGCAAGCTTGAGAAGCCTTTATAATCAAAACATATCAAAACAAACTCCTTGACTGAGGCTGCCTCAACAAAACTCGCTGCAGTCAAGCAATCACGTTGTCGCTGCCTGCCATGGCTCCTCCACAGCCGAACCCAGGGTCCTTTTGTAAAAGAGCCAGTCTTCTTCTTCGGGTCCGAACCTGGACTGTTTCAGAAGCAGCACTGGCTAGTCGCAGTAGAATGGGATTGCCAGCTGCACTTACCAGCATGGCAACCATCAACACAAACTTCTCGGAATCAAGAACCGGAGATGATATTATCCCTTAGCTCATCAGGACTCTGGACTTCATGCACGGCAAAAGGGTTTTGACCCGAGCAAGCTCGGGGGTGAACAAGCGTTCAATGAGTCTTGGGCTCATGGGCATCAGCTTGGAGATAGATTGGAGATAAAATCTACAGAGAAGAGCAGCTACAGCAGATGCTACAGCTACACATCCACACATCAACACATCAACACATGGCGAAGTCTATCCTGCATGATCGTCATCAACTCCAAGACCAGCCTTGCTCTCATGCGCTCCTGCAAGTCCAGCCAGCTCCTGTTGCTTCAACGCGAGGGTGATCTGCCTGCTACAACTGTACAAGACCAGGAATCCATAGCGCAGCCGTGTTTGAATTTAAGAAGCCTCCCACATTCAAGGGCAAAGCCTCAGAATAATGAGGTGGTAATGGTGATGGTGATGGCCATGCCGATGGTGACGGTGGTGATGGTGAATCCTGTGCTATGGCAAGGCGGCAGCTGTTGCGGCCGCCGCCGCCGCCGCCGCCACCGCCGCTGCTGCTGCTGCCGCCGGTCGTCGTCACCGCTGCAACCGTCGTCGTCGCTGTCAGCGCGATCATTGCGCCGGTCTGCGTGGTCGCGTCGGTCGCAGTCGTCACCATCATCACGGTGGTCGTTATCGTGGTCGTGGTCCTCTGTGGCTGTCATGGACGTGTCAATCATGCTTGTGCTGGTCATGAGGTCGTGTCATGTCGTGACCGTGGTGGTCCTGGTGCTCATGATCGTCGTAAGCATGGTTGTGGTCACAATCGCGGTTGCAGGCGCGTGGCTGCGTTGGCGGTGGTGCTGGTGGCAGCGGTGGCATTGGTGGTGCAGAAATGGCAGTGGCAGCGGTGGCGTTGGCGGTGGCGGCGGGGTAAGGATGCTGTTGCTGCTGGTGCTGGCAAGGGCGGTAGTGCTGATGGTGGTGATGGTAGCTGCGGCACCGTAGAAGCACAAACTATCATGATGGCAAAGGCAAAGACTGCTACCATGTTCGGTGACTATGGCAAAGTTCCTGAGCACGAGCCTGGGGAATATGCTGAGAATGAATCCCAAGCTGGGTGTTACTAATCTTCCGAACTCCCGGGTTGCACCTTATGGAGAAGAGGCTCATGTCCAGGAGGACCGGATCCTGCACGCGTTTTGAAAGGTGAACAGATGTGGAGCACAGGGCCAGGGTTCATAGTTCATAGGGCCTGCAGGGCCGGTGCCGGTGCCGGTGCCGGTG